TGTCTCATGACATTGATTGTAATCTCCCACAGTGCAACAGCTTTCTTCCCACTCCCTTCCAATAGCTACCTCCTCCCTGTATTCTTCCCTCCCATGTACTCCTGCCCCCTGAGCTGTCTCCCTGTGATACACAGCCCTTCTATCCTCCCATGATTGTTCTCTCCAAGGAGTGTATCTATGTAATATAAATGTTCAGCTCATATGCCTGTCTTTTGTTTGGCTGGAAGCCACAGGAGTGGGTTCAATTCCAGATCTGATGGGCAACTGGGGGCCATAATCTCAAGGGTGTAACCAGTCTCAAAGCAGCAAATCTGGTCGGATGAGAATCTTTTTGAGGGCAAAATCATGCATTTGGGTTTTGGATATTCTGAATTTGAAGTATCTTTGAGATTCTTAAGCAGGCAGCTGGATTTTGATATTTGAGTCTTAGAGGAGAGGTCATGGCTGGAGATATCTTTTTTTTTTTTTTTTTTTATTAGGATTTGGGGGAAGATTTACAGAGTAAATTCACTTTTCATACAGCAGTTCACATATACTTTGTCTCATGTCATTGACCAAAATTTACAATGCAGCAGCTCCCCTCCCACTTCCTCCCCATAGTTACCTCCTCCCAGTGTCCATCCCTTCATACTCTTCGAGAGGCCCATTTTCTGCCAACCCTGTATATGATCTTGGATACACTCTCCCTTTAGACATACATAATTGTTTAGCTTGTTCACCCATCTATCCGTCCCTATACCCATATTTGCTTTCATTAACAACTCAGTATTGTATTTACAAAGGGGTTCATATTTGTTGTTTGTAATGCCCATGTAACTCTCTCTGTCTTTCTCATCCTCAATGCTGCCATATTGGTCACTCACATTTGGTACATTGCCCTTCTCTTCACCCAAATCAATATTTATCTCTATCTATCTAACAGCATTCCCTCCCCTTCCCTCCCACCCCTGGTAACCAACAAAGAAAATGTCCTGGCTGGAGATATCTTGAGGGTCATCAATATATGGGAGGCAAATGATGTCATGAGTGTGGATGAAACTGCCTAGGAGAGAAGAGAGAGTGAAACGGAAAAGGAGCCTAGGCTGGAGTCTTGAAGAACTCTAATATTAAACGACTAGGCAAATACTCTAATTTACTTTCCTTTTCAGTGCACTGAAACTTCAAGATGATTCTTATGGATTATTACACTTTGCTGCTAGTAAGCTATATCGATTTATCATGGAAAACTCTGCATATTACCCAAGGTTTTCATCAGTAGTTGTCCATCATTTTTGGAAATTCTATAAAGGCAATTCACAGATTCTATAGGACTTTAGACATTGTTCTTCAAACTGCAGGTTTCAGTGGGTCATGAAATCAATTTAGTGGGGCTGGATTAGCATATATTTTTTAATCAAATAAGTAGAAAATACCAAAGTACATCAAATATAATAAGCATCTACTCTCTTCCTTGGTTAGCTCATCTAGTTTCATGCCTCTCAATGGCATATACAATGCCCCCCCCCTTTTTTTTTTAATCTCTAGCCCAGGCCTCTCACCTAAACTCCACTCATTAATATATCTCCACTTGGATGTCTAATAGATATCTGAACTCAATATGGCTAAACATGAATTCCTGATCTCCCTTCCCCAAACAGCTCTATCTGTAGTCTTTCCAGGTGATGGCAATTTTATCCCTCTACCTTTGACCTTCTAGGCTAAAGTCCCTAGAGTTGTTTATTATTTTTCTCATTCTCTAACACACCACATTCCATCTGATGGCTACCACCTGGTCCAAGCTACTATCATCTCATTTCCTACCTTGACTAATGCAATAGCCTACCAAAAGGTCTCTTTCCCCCTTGCCCCGTTATAGTCTACCCTCAACACAGCAATAAGAGTAATACTTTAAAACAAGAAGTCAGTAAGTTTTTTCTTAGAGGGTAAGATAAGAGGCAACATTAAGGCTATCATGTAGGTAGGTACAAAGGAGCTCTCATGGTGTAGTAGGTAAGGCATTTGGCTGCTAACCAGAAGGTCGGCAGTTCAAACCCACTAGATACTCCATGGGAGGAAGATGAGGCAGTCTACTTGTTAGGATTTACAGCCTTGGAAACCCAGCGGGGTCACTATGAGTCAGAATTGACTCGATGACAGTGCATGGATATAGGTATAAGAAAGAAAAAAGCTTTCCACAACTTTTTGTTGCTAAAATTAAAAATGTAATAATAATTGAGTACAATTTTTTATAATACAAGTCTACTAATGAGAAAAAAATGGAAAAAAAAATTAACAGGTAACATTTTGCTTAAATGGGGTTCAAAGTGAGTGCTCTTCATCATTAAAATTGGTGGCAAGTGTTCCTTTATAGAAACTATTCTTAGCTGGGTCAAACAGAAACAGGCACTGAGCTGGATTTAGCCCGCAGGCTATAGTCTGCAGACTCCTGTTTTAAAATACAATTTTATCACTGTTCTCTCTCCATTTGTTATCTCAGTCCTAGAGGCCAGAATCAAGGCAGCCTTCGCTGGGTTGTCTGGTTAGGGTCTCACAAGACATAAGTCAAGGTGGGTTCTTAACTGGAGGATCTGGGGAAGAGTCCACTTCCAAGTTCATTCAGATGATTGGCAGGATCCAGGTCCTTGCAGTTGTAGGTCTGAGGTCCCCATTTCCTTGCTGGCTGCCAGCCGAGGGCTACTCTCACCTTCAGAGGATCTGACACTCTTTAACACGTGGCCTCCTCCGTCTTCAAAGCCTGTAACAGTGCACTGAATCCTCCTCAGGCTTTAAATCTGACCTACCCTTCTGTTACCAAACCCAAAAACTCAATTGCCATCGAGTCAATTCCAACTCCTAGCAACCCCCATTGGGCTTCCAAGGCTGTAAATCTTTATGGAAGTAGACTGCCTCATCTTCCTTCTGTAGAACAGCGCGTGGGGTTTGAACTATTAGCCTTCTGGTTAGCAGCCAAATACCTTACCCACTATGCCACCAGAGCCTTTTTATCCTTCTGTTAACAGCAGGGAAAAATGCTCTGCCTTTAAAGGTTCCACCTGACCAGGCCATACCCATATAATCTTCGTATCTCAAGGTCAACTGACTCGGGACTTTAAGTACATCTGCAAAAACTCTTCAGAGCAGGCCCTAGATTAGTGTTGGATTGACTAACCCGGGGGACAAGAATCTTGAGGGGCTATCTTTAGAATTCTACCTACTATAACTTGCAATAGCTTCTTACTCAGAGTAAAAAGATAGGGCCCTTACAAGGGCCTATGTGATCTGTGCCATCTCCTCCAACTGCCATGCCTGCCCCACTATATCTCTAACCTCACTTCCTATTACTCTCCCTCTGGCTCACTGTTCATCCACATTCGCCTCCTTGCTGCTCCCTGAACATGCCAGACGCATTTGCAATGTAGGGCCTCTGCTCCAGTCTCCGCCTGAAATGCTCTCCTCTTAGCTACCTACTTTGTTAACTCTCTTACCTCCAATCTTTGCTCAAGTTTCACTTTTTCAATAAGCATAACCTGACCATCCTACTTAATACCACCATCTTGAACTCTTATTCCTGGCACTACCTATTTCTCCTACCCTGTTCCACTTATTTTTTTTTCCCCCTACTGTACTTATCAGGAGCTCTGGTAGCATAGTGGCTAAGATACTTGCCTGCTAACCAGACGGCTGGCGGTTCAAACCCACCAGCCACTCCTCAGAAGGAAGGTTGGGCATTCCTACTTACGTAGTGATACTGCCTCGGAAACCCAAGGAGGGGTCGCTATGAGTCGGGTTTGACTCGACGGCACATAACAACTGTACTTACCACTTTTAACATAGACTTTGTGATATATATTGTCTGTCCCTCCTTGCTAGGATTAAGCTCCCAAAGGTAAGGGTCTTCGTCTATTCTGTTCACTGATGCAAGCACCTAGCACAGTGCTGGGCACAACACAGATGGTCAACAACTATTTAATGAATGAATGAAATTCCAGGAAAACTCCTGTGTCCATTTTCTACATTTGTATGTGAGTAGATTGTGATGTAATATATATTTGTTAATGAAGGTATAGTTAAGAGAGTTTGAAAATGACTAGATTATACTACATGACCTAAATGATTGTTCTGGTTCCCTAGTGCCACTCTGACAGAAATATACCACAAATGGGATGGCCTTAACAAACAGGAATTTCTTCTTACAATTTGGAGGGTTTAAGTCCAAGTTAAAAATGCCAGGCTCTAGGGGTTGGGTGAAAGCCCCTCAGCTTTGGGGTCCAACTCTGCCTCCTGCTCCCGGCCCACTGAGCTAGAGGCGCTTCTTCACTCACATAGCTGCTGGCTGCTGAGGCTGAGAAGCCCCAAAGTTGACATGTAAAAAGGGCACAGTCCTGATGTTACCAAACCACACGGCAGGCCATTAACTTGAGTTCAATGTAAGTCCCAACCAAGGTCAGCAGAGTATAGCAGGCTACTGAGCAACAACGCGGCTACATGCCAGGTCCAAGCGTGCCAAAGGCTAGAGACCATCCCCAAGGCTTCTCCTTATATACAGGAAGCAGACCATCTCCCAAAGGCAGCTACTCAGCTGCTTGTGGCAGATCCCACCATGGAGTTGACTGCCAGTCATCATGGAGAAAATTACCACCAGCTGCCCAGCCACTCAACCAGGCCCAGCCAGGGTGACACACAAACATAACTACCACAATGATCCTTTCCAAACTGGAGCACTTATAAATTTCCATGTGTACCTAGTAAATCTCCACCATATTCTTTGGGAGATGGCAAAGTTCACAGCCTAGTAACTACAGAAAGGCACTGAGTTATTGAAATATAACACTGACAGCAAAAAGCTAAATAGTTATGTTTGCCTGTTCTATGACTGTGAGTTAGAAAAGACGGCGAAAAGAGGAAGGACAACTGCTGAATGCCTCCAAAACAGAAAAATCCCAAATTAGCCCTTCCACAGAGATATTACTTCAGAGCAAATAAAAAACAAAAAAATTTACAGATCAATTCTTGTTACTTACTGAAGAAGCGAAGAACAGCAAAGGAAGATATCACTCAAAGTCTCTGCTGTAGAAATTGTGACTTTAATGGATGCTGGAAGCAAAGACCACTTCCTAAGTATGTACAATTTCCACTCATCCACAGGCAGATCCATGCTACTTGAGATCTGTAAGAGTAAGAAAATGAGGAATCAGATTTCCATAAATACACAATACCAGAAAATCAAGATTTGATTCAAGCAAGGGTAAAGCAATAAAATCAATTCTCTGGGTCTTTTCCTAGAGTTGGTTACATGGGCCTTTTGTTGCCTCATAACTAAAATCTAAGCAAGGATTTATATTTTCTCATACCAACTCACGCAGTATGAACTGAAAGTCTATTATGTTCCAGGTACCAAGTTCGGTGATTATATAAGGAATCAAATTAGACAGCTACCATGGCTGTCCTCTTGGAAGCTCTATCTACACTAGTTGCTCAAATCAGAAATCTGGGAGACACCAGACTTTTCTTTTTTACTCATCCCAGTAACTATTCAGTTAAATATTTCTCTTTCATGTAGTTCAGTTTTCTCCTCCAATTTCCAGGTCATTCTTTCAGTTCAGGCCCTCACCATCTCATCTGACATTCTTTCCAATGTCATCATTAGTCTGCTTCTCCTCAATCGGTCCTCTATATTAAGACAGATGCCAGTCCTTTGCCTTAAATTCATTAATGCTCTTCCCAGCACACTGGGAAGACCAGTACCAACCCTTCATTATTTGACCTTTGGCTTCCTAATTCTCAAGTGCCCTTCTTCCTCTGTAGCCTATCACACTGAACTAATCAAAGCTATTTCCTGTTCTCCAATTTCCGGAATATTTCATCTCTGCAATATTTTTGCATAGGCTAGTCACTTTGTCAGGAACATCCGAGCCTCACTTGGCGTAACCCTGGCAAACTCCCACACGTCCTTCCAGATTCAGTTCAGATGGCACCTCCTTCTGGAAGCCTTTCCCTGATCTTCCATCTGTGGCTCCAGAACACGCGGGTCTGTTCTAGGGCCAGTGCCAATCACAGTAGATACATGGGCGGGGTCTTCTTTACCTTCAGAGGCTCCCACAGTGCCAAGCTTAGGGCCCGGCACCGGCAGGCGCTCAGCACTGGGTTGTTCAAGGAACAAAATCGCTGCTTTGCCTATACTTAGCAGGAGAGTTCTAGAAAACAGCTCTAACTCTCCTCTGGACTGCCAGTCTGTCTCCTCCTTAAGAATCCGCGTCGGGTATGCTCCCAAGAGCCGGCTCCGAGAGCTCCGACAACTGGGCCACCAGCGTCCGTACTTATGTCCGCGCCACCTTAGGCGCGCTCTCGGGCTCGGCGCTCCGCCCCAAACATTGCCATCCAGCGACTTGACCCCAAACTCCCTTGAGCGGGTCATGTGGGCGGCCCGTCGGTCTTGGCCAATGCAGTTGCTACTTGGCCCTTGGGCCCGCCCCTGCGCCTCACGCACGTCGGGAGGCGGAGTGGCGTGCGCAACTGATCGCGCCAATCGCTTTGGAGCGCGCGGGACCCCGGGAGTGGAGTCGGGGGTACGGAGAAGCTGGAGCGCGGGAGTTAGCACGGCGGAGCCATGGTCGGCCATCTGAGCGAGGGGGCCATTGCGGTAAGCAGACTCCTGGATGCAGGGCTGGGTGGCTGTGAGCGCTGGAGGCGGGGGGAGTCTGCATGTGTGCGGAGTGGAGAAGCGGAGGGGAGTTAAGGGCGGTGGAGAGAGAACTCCAAGGAAGTAGATTACAGGGGGCGGTGGGAAACGGCCAGGGTATCTCTCATCTCCGGTTCATCACTCGCTCCTCAAAGTATTTGTTCCATTGTGTTTTAAACGTGCTCCCGTTTTTCCTACTTAAAATAAGCTCCTGACTCCCCCATATCTGTGCAGCTGCCGTTCTGTCGCCTCCCTTTTCCCTATCCACAGCCAAACTTCTGCAGAGTTGTTTGGTTTCAGTTATTAACCCACTCCAGTCAATCCCCCCCCCATCGCTATAGAAATAACTCAGGGTGAAGTTAGTAGTGGTCTCCAAGTCGCTAAATCGAACAGATACTTTTCAGTTTTCAGTTTACCTGAGTTCTCAGACATGTTCGAGTCTGTCGACCATTGGCTTCCTGGTGATTACACTCTTCCTTTGACTCCCGTGGTGCCACTTGGCTGGTCTGTCCCTGTCTTATTTGCAGGGCTGTCTTTTTTTGTTGACAGCCCTGCAAATTTTTGTTGACTCGAGGCTAGGCCTGCTTCTTCCAAGACAACGTTATAACTATCTGTGTCAATTGCTCACACGTTTCTTTGTCCAGACCTGCCTTTATATTGAAAGCAAGCCTGCGTCCTTGATATCTCTCAAAGGCATCTCAAATTCAACTTGTCTAAAAACAAACCTATGTTCCTTAGTCTGAGTCTCTCTCAATGTTCTTTATTTATCTTGTTGAATGGCACCATTGTCCATTAAGTTATGCTAGCCAGAAATTGAGAAATCTTTCTTGTTACATCCTCCGTCATACGTCCATCCAGTTCGTCGCTAAGTCTTGTATATTTTACCTCGACATACAGCTCTGTTTACTTCTCTCTACACACACCATCATTTGTTGCCTGGACTGCACCCTACTTAGCATAACCATCTTCCCTTCCCTCCCTTCGTAGCTTATGCCCACAGTTTTTTTTCCTCTCTATCTCACGGTCTTTTCTAAGTTGCTGGTGTTTTCTGCACTCTTGCCTTCTACGGGACCTTTCAACATGCTTTTCCCTCTAATACCTGAGTGGTTCTTCACTCTCCCTCTCACTAGTTAACATAATATTCAAATCCCAGCTCAATTGGAGCTTCCTCAGGGATGCCTACTTTGATTTACTAGATTAAATTTTGAGATCTTAATTCTTACTCTTTCACTTACTAGCATTGTAGCTTTGGTCGAGATACTAAACTCCTCTATGCTTTTTTCATCTTTAGAATGAGGGTAATGATATCAGATACTTCTTGCCTTGCATGAGGTTACCAAACCAAAAAAAACAAACCTCACTGCCATCCAGTTGGTTGCAACTCTTAGACTTCCTTTGGGACAGAGTACAAATGATCCCATATGGTTTCTAAAGTTGTAACTCTTTATGGAAGCAAACTGTCTCACCTTTCTCCTTCAGAGCAGCTGGTAGGTTCTAACCACCAATCTTTTGGTTAGCAACAAATGCTTTAACCACTACATCACCAGTGCTCCTTCTGCATAAGGTTAGTGGGTGATTCAATGAGTTAGTACATTTACAGTGCTTAACTCAGCGGCAGATAAGTAGTAAATACTCAATTCACGTTCTCTATTTAAAAATTTATTTTATTGTTGTTAAGAGTATACACAGCTAAACATACATCAGTTCTATAGTCTCTACATGTACCATTTAGTGACATTACATTCTTCAAGTGGTGTGACCATTCTTATCCTACTTTTCTGATGTTACCTGTTTTTTATAATCACATGTAATTTTACATTTGTTGTTTATTGGATCAATATCAGTTACTTTCTGTCGCTCACTGGATTGTAAATTCCGTGAGGCCTGCAATCATGGGTGTTTTTTTTTTTTTTTTTTGCACAATGCAAAATGCTGGTATTACTCTAGGTACTGGGGATACTAAATGCCCAATGTTTACTAATCGCATGAATTCATTAGGCAGTGAAAACAAAGGGATAGTGAAGGGTGGGGAACAAAGAGAGCTTGGGGGAAAATGGTATGGGGAGGAACGGTTGGTAGGGTCCAGTAAATACTTGCTTCAGTTGGGATGCATGAATGCTGAGACCTGAGAAGTGATTATAGATTGCAGTCCTCGTTCACTTAACTTTATAGCTACCTTGGACCTTAAAATTAGGAATGATTCCTCACTTTTAAAGGAATGAATATGAGGTTATTTACATTTGTGGAGTGATTTTCTCCTGTATTCAAAACTTTAGAAACATATTTCCAGTGTTAGGTAAAGTATTACTTGAGTTTTACTCAAATGAAAAATGAAATCTTTATGAGTGTGCATGTGTGTGTGTGCACATGCGCGTCTATTGTAGCAGTGTGTAGAGAATCTTTGTCAACTTTGATTATCAGCTAAAACAAGTAGTATCATTTTAGTGCAAAAGACACAGGCCCAGAAGGGGAAAAGAAGCTTGCATTTGCAGGGCATTGAGGTTATGCTAGTGGTGGTGGAGTATTTTGGAGGAGGATAGCAATAATGGTGGCACAACATAAAAAATGTCATCAGTGTCCCTGAGCTGTGAATGTAGAAGTTATGTTGGTTAATGTCTTGTATATGTTTTTGCCCAAATAAAATAAACAAATTAAAAAAAAAAGACAGACCCCAAAGGCTAGAAAAAAAGCACATAAACAGTAGAGGCTTTTTAGGCAAGATATGTAAGATAAAATAAAAGGTTATACATGGAATGATTGTGATAAATGAAATAAATAATTTGTATCTTAAGTAAGAGGAGTGCTGGTGGCGTAGTGCCTAAGGCACTTGACTGCTAACCAGAAGGCTGGCGGTTCAAACCCACCAGCCACTCCTCGGAAGGAAGATTGGGCAACCTACTTCCATAGTGATACTGCCTTGGAAACCCAAGGAGGGGTCGCTATGAGTCAGATCTGACTCAATGGCAGTGAGGTTTTTTTTTTTTTTTTTTAATCTTAAGTAATTGGCTTATAAAAAGAAAAGGATGGAACTAATGTTTTTTGACTTTCCAGTATGCCAGATGATAATTGGTACTTACAATAACCCTGTAAGGTAAATTTTTATCATCACCCCGGTTTTGCTGATGAAGAAATTAAAGTACAGAGACATTAAAGCATTTGTATGTAGAATGGAGATCTGAATCCATGTGCCCTTGACTGTTACATGCTGTTGGTGTGGTGGTTTTGTTTTTTTATTAATTGTTTTATTGTGGCAAAATACATATAACAAAATTTACCATTCTTAAGTGTATAATTCAATGGCGCTAATTGCGTTCATAATGTTGTGCAAGCAACCATCTATTTTCCAAAACTTTACCACCTCAAAGCAGGAACTCTGTACCCATTAAGCAATGACTCCTGCCTTGTATTTTTTATATACAATAATAATTTATGTTATTAATAATTTGTATTGTTAATTTGGAAATTTTAAAGCAATTTTATCTTAAGTGTTGGTGTCCTGCTACATGTCCCAGAAAAGTAAACTTTAAACTCAATTTATGATTGTTGTTGTTGTTGTTGTTATGGGCCACCGAGTCGGACCCAACCCATAGCGACCCCTCCTTGGGTTTCCGAGGCAGTATCACTACGGAAGTAGATTGCCCAACTTTCCTTCTGAGGAGTGGCTGGTGGGTTTGAACCGCCAGTCTTCTGGATGATAGCACATTTTAACCTGTGGGTGGATAAAAGCAATATCTGCACATAATTTTAAGATCTAATAGGGTAGAAAGGCATTTAAAGAAACTATCAACCTTCTGTCCCACTAAGCCCCAGTTCTTGTCTCCAGAAACAACTGCTTTTTTTTATTTAATCATCATTATTAAAGTTTAATTTACTTACACTAAAATGCACCCATTTTAAGTGCACAGTTTGATGAGTTTTAACAGTTTTATACACCCCTGTGAGCGCCACAATAATCAAGATATAGAACATTTCCATCATAGTTTCCACCTGGTCCTTCCTCTCATTCCCAGGTGTTCTGGTTTCTAGCACGCTATAGGCTAGTTGAGGAGACCTGGTGGCACAGTGGTTGAAACACTCAGCTGCTGACCAGAACGCTGGTGGTTCAAACCCAACAGCCATTTGGTGGGAGAAAGATGAGGCAGTCGGCTTCTGTAGAAATTTACAGCGTTAGAGACCCACTGGGACAGTTCTCTGTCATTCAGGGTCTCTGTGAGTCAGAATGGACTTGATGGCAGTGGGTTAGTTTCGAGGGTTCTAAAAATTTACGCAAGTAGAATGAAGTACTATCCTTTTGATCCATTTCAAGTTTACTTTTTTTTTTTACTTATGGTGTATTTTCCCTCAGTTGTAAACCTGGCATCATAAAATGAGTTGGAAAATGTTATTCTCTATCTCCTGAAATAATTTTTGCAAAAAATTTTTTTTTTTTTTACCTTAAATATCACCTGGAACTTATCGGTAAAGCCATGGGGCCTGGAGTTTTCTCTGTTGAAATAGTAAAATAGGTCTGATACAGCTTGATGAGACCCCCAAGACTGTGGCCCCTAGTTACCTTTCAGGTCTGGAATTTAACTCACTCCCATGGCTTCCAGCTAAACAATAGACAGGCATATAGGGTGAATGTGGTAGTTAAGGTTGTGTGTCAACTTGGCTGGGCCTGGTTGAGTGGCTGGGCAGCTGGATGTAGTATTCCTCATGATGAGACTGGTAATCAGCTCCATGGTGGAATCTACTGTGAGCAGCTGAGTAGCTGCCTTAGGGATGTGGTCTGCTTCCCACATATAAGGAGAAGCCTTGGGAATGGTCTCTAGCTTATGGCACACTTAAACCCTGCTTGTAGCCAAGTCATTCTTCAGTAGCCTCCTGTGCTCTGTTGAACTTGGTACTTTCAATGGACTTAAATTAATGAACTGCAAGGGGTTAGGTAACATCAGGACTGTGCCTTTTTACTTGTCAACCTT